CATAGGCAAGTTACTTAATCTCTGTGTGCCTCCTTCCTCCTCTGTAAAATGGAAATAATAATAGTGTCTACCTCACAGAATTGTTATGAGGATTTTAAAAGTTAATATTTACAAAGTGCTAATAAGAGTGATTGCCACATAGTAAACCTCTGAGGAGCTATATGTATCTGAGTAAGACCACCCCAAATTAACTTAGGACTTCCGACGTGACATACTAGCCATGCTATGCAAGGTTTGAGGCTAAAACTCCATTTTGAATTAAAAGTAACTTCTGCATCGAAAATGCAGCCTGTCATTTCTGTAACTCTCCATTGTACCCTGAGAAAATTACTTGGTAAAAGATTTTAGAGAAGACCTTGATTTTGTTTGTTTAAAGGTTTCACTTGCCTAGTGTTCAGGAAACCAAGTCCAAAACCATTCTCAGAACAGATGCTTACTCAGGATAAACCTTAGAATTATGCATGTCCTCCCTGCAGTCACCCAAGGAGGGTCTCATGATTGTTTTGAGGTCAGATGTACCCAATTTAATGATTACCTTGTAATTTAAAAAAAAAAAAAATTTAGAAATGTATATAGTCTCCTGCCAATCAGATGTTTACCTGTGTTTCATTGACTACGCTAAGGCATTGGACTGTGTGAATCGTAACAAATTATGGATAACAATACAAAGAATAGGAATTCCAGAGCACTTAAGTGTGCTTATGAGGAACCTGTACATAGATCAAGAGGCAGTCGTTTGAACAGAACAAGGGGATACTGCGTGGTTTAAAGTCAGGAAAGGTGTCTGTTAGGGTTGTATCCTTTCACTATACCTATTCAATCTGTATTCTGAACAAATATTCTGAGAAGCTGGACTATATGAAGAAGAATGGGGCATCAGGATTGGAGAAGACTCGTTAACACCCTGCGATATGCAGATGACACAATCTTGCTTGCTGAAAGTGAAGAGGACTTGAAGCACTTACTGATGAAGATGAAAGACTACATCCTTCAGTATGGATTACACCTTAACATAAAGAAACAAAAATCCTCACAACTGAACCAATAAGGAACATCATGATAAATGGAGAAAAGACTGAAGTTGTTAAGGATTTCATTTTACTTGGATCCACAATCAACACCCATGGAAGCAGCAGCCAAGAAATCAAAAGACACATTGCATTGGGGAAATCTTCTGCAAAAGACCTCTTTAAAGTGTTGAAAAGCAAAGATGTCACCTTGAAGACTAAAGTGCACCTGACCCAAGCCATGGTGTTTTCAATCACCTCATATGCATACGAAAGCTGGACAATGAATAAGGAAGATTGAAGAAGAGTTGATGCCTTTGAATTGTGGTGTTAGCGAAGAATATTGACTATACTATGGACTGCCAAAAGAATGAACAGATCTGTCTTGGAAGAAGTACAACCAGAATGTTCCTTGGAAGCAAGAATGGTGAGACTACGTCTCACATACTTTGGACATGTTATCAGGAGAGATCAGTCCTTGGAGGACATCATGCTTAGTAAAGTAGAGGGCCAGTGAAAAAGAGGAAGACCTTCCACAAGATGAATTGACACAGTGGCTGTAAAATGGGCTCAAGCATAACTATGATTGTGAGGATGGTGCAGGAAGGGGCAGTGTTTCATTCTGTTGTACATAGGGTGGCTATGAGTCAGAACTGACTCGACGGCCCCTAATGACAACCTAAATGTCAACTAATCACTAAATTTTTACTGAAGTTCCCAGTGTTTTCTTGTAAAAACTCCTTTGACTGTCTCCTCCTCCAATCACTTAGTTCATAATCCTCTGGACTTTGTGATTCCCAATTTGCAAATTGCCTTGTCTCTCAGTAAAAGCTATTTACTTTTAATTTCAACCAGACTCTACCATTTTTGCTGTACAACATGTTATATAGATAGATAATAATATCTGCTAAAAATAATCAAAACTCAAAGAAATTGATACATAGGTTTATTCTGAAAAGTTATTCTATATGCATACAGGGAGACCATACTGAAGGCGGTCGTCTTTGATCTTCATCAGTAAGTGCTTCAAGTCCTCTTCACTTTTAGCAAGCAAGATTATGTCATCTGCATATTACAGATTGTTAATGAGTCTTCCTCCAATTCCTGATGCCATGTACTTCTTCATATAGTCCAGCTTCTCGGATTATTTGCTCAGCATACAGATTGAATAAATATGGTGAAAGGATACAACCCTGACGCATACCTTTCCTGACTTTAAACCACACAGTATCCTCTTCAGTATAGATTGTACCTCAACATAAAGAAAACAAAAATCCTCACAACTGGACCAATAAGCAACATCATGATAAACGGAGAAAAGATTTAAGATGTCAAGGATTTCATTTTACTTGAATCCACAATCAAACTCCATGGAAGCAGCAGTCAAGAAATCAGGCGACATATTGCATTGGGCAAATCTTTTGCAAAAGATCTCTTTAAAGTGTTAAAAAGCAAAGATGTCACTTTAAGGACTAAGGTGCGCCTGACCCAAGCCATGGTATTTTCAATAGCCTCCTATGCACGCAAAAGCTGAACAATGAATAAGGAAGACCAAACAAGAATTGACACCTTTGAATTATGCTGTTGGTGAAGAATATTGAATATACCACAGGCTGCCAGAGAATGAACAAATCTGTCTTGGAAGAAGTACAGCCAGAATGCTCCTTACATCTCACGTACTTTGGACATGTTGTCAGGAGGGACCAGTCCCTGGATAAGGACATCATGCTTGATAAAGTAGAGAGGGTCAGCGAAAAAGAGGAAGACCCTCAATGAGATGGATTGAGACAGTAGCTCAATGGGCTCAAGCATAGCAACAATTGTGAGGATGGCGCAGGACCAGGTAAAGCTTCCTTCTGTTGTACGTAGGGTCTCTATGATTCGGAACCAACTCAAAGGCACCTTACAACAACAGGGAGATCATTCTGATTCCAGAAAAAAGCAAATGGCTGGAAGCAGGCTGATTACAACGAAGCTTATAAAGAGAAGAGGAGAGAGAAAAAGAGAAGATCAACCATTGGCTAATCTGAACATGATTGATTGAATCCTGCCTTTCCCCTTTTATTGAGATCAACTGACATCCTGTCACAAGGCGATCTCTGGCCTTCCACCCCTGTAGCCTTGATATCTTTTGAAATTTAAATCATGTGGGCCTGACTTTAAACAGGAAAGAAAAGATTGCAACTTTGGGTCAAAAAAGCCACTCGCAGGATTTGATCAGGAATTTTATGGTTAATATCTTGTTTCCTGGGTAAGAAAAACCTTAAAATCAAAGTAAGATGTCCGCTGTTGTTTCTTTCTCTTCAATATACCTTAGATCTCATTTACTATCATCATTCATCCTTGATAAAAGCAATATTTTCAAGTCTGATATCCAAGAGTTTTAAAAAAGCAAAAAAAAAAAAAATTTAAACAGAAATCTAAATTTTTAGGCTTGTTATCCAAAGTTGGCATAAATCGCCCTCCCTTCCAACTTCCACTTATTCTCTTCCTCCACCCCTATGCCATTCCTTCTTCACAAAGCCATTCATGTGTAAAAGAAGTATGTGCCTTGTATTGTTATGTTGACTAATTGTTCTTAACGCTTCTCCCATCAGCCTGAGAACAAGAAAAGCAAGACTGAAGCCTCTGCTATGAAACTCTTGGGTAATAAATTTATAGTACTGCCCATGACTACCTGGAGTGCTGAAATGCCAGAGCACAGTCACCCCTTTCCTCATGGTTAAGGTTTTAGCAGCAACGTGCTCATTTATGGTTGCATAATGGTTAAGAACAGTCTCTGGATCTGCCTGTGTACTGCCTGCTACCAAGCCTTCCATGGACTAGTTGAGCAATCTTTGCCTCTGATTCCTCATTTGTAAACTGGAGGTTAATAGACTATGCTGTGAGATTAAATTAGTTAATACACATAAAATGCCTACATGTTTATGGTATAGCTAGGATACAATACATGTTGTTAATTGCCCTCATGCAGAATAGAATGAGACACTGGCTGGTCCTGAGTCATCCTCACTATCGCCAGCATGTTCACCATCGTTGCAGCTATTGTGCCAATCCACCTCACTGAGGATTTCCCGTCCCTGCTTGGCCCTCTGCTTCACCAAACACAATGTCCTCCTCTAGTGATTGATCCTGCCTGATGACGTGTCCAAAGCAGCAAGAATGACAATGTTCTGTTGTGATCCATGAGGTTTTTATTGGCTAACAAGAAGTAGATAGCCAGGCCTTTCTTCCTTGTCTTAGTCTGGAAGCTCTGCTGAAACCTCTGCATCATGGGTGACCTTGCTGTGGAAATATCAGTGGGTGGCATAGCTTCCAGCATCACAGCAACATACAAGCCACCACAGTACGACAAACTAACAGATGGACGGTGGATAATACACGTTAGTTGTTATTGTTTTGGGGGAATACGTGGTTTGAGTTTGGGCATTGCCTTTCTCTTAAGTGTTTACCTCAAAAAACTATCCGACTTGGAAAACAGGGGAAAAAAATTTGTTGGTTGGAAATGGGAAGAGAAGCGCTGAGGCAGAAGCTGGTAATAATAGCACAGAAGGGCAAAGTCCATCCTAAAGCCCTCAGAATAAACTTTAGCGGGGAACCCCAGAGGCCAGGTAACTTTCATACAAAGAAGCTAACATCTGAAGGCTTAAAAAACCAACAGGACTCAGAGCAGGAGACATTTCAACCCCCAAGGAGCTAGAAGAGGGCCTTAGCACAGCCTTTATGCCACCAAATTTCCTGGAGCGTTTCCTTGGCGGCCTCCAAGCTCCAAGGGACACTGTAGCCCTATAAGTGGGTGTGTCTGTGTTTTCTCGACTTTGCCGCTGAGCACACCTGGCCCTCTCGCTAGTCACACCTGGGCCAGAGGCCGCCGCCAGCGCAAGCAGAATTAGCCCTGAACCCTCGCGTCGGGGGAGGGGGGGGGGCTCTCCGGAAGTGCCACGCAGTCCTCCCCATTGGCTGAGGCTGTTCCGGGGCGGGGTCGGCGCACAACAGCTCTGCCCGAACAGCGGTCCATGGGGCGAGGAGAGGCGGCCCAGGTGGGTGAGACGAGCGAGCGCCAGCACCTGGGAAGCCCCATCTGAGGGTCATGGCGGGACAGGTGAGGTTGCCGCACGGAGAGCCCTGTCGAGAAGGTGAGTGTCTGCCCCCAGGCGGGGGACCAGTACCTGGGTGGCAGACAGACCAGATAGGCGGTCCCGGGGTTTTCGTGGAGTCGCGAGAGGGTGTACTGACTCTCTGCATTCATTCATGTATTCATTTAGCTAGCCAGACAGCCAGCCAACAAATATTTGAGTGCTTACGATCTGCCGGGCTCTGTTTGGAAGCCTGGGCGAACAAGACAAATGTGGTTCCCTCTCTGGTCCCGAAGGCACCCCAAGTAAATTACAATGTGCTAAGTATCGTGACGCGGAAATTCGGGGTGGTAAGGAAGGACTCCCACGTGCCACGTGCCGTTTGAGAAAGACCTTTTTCTCCGGCTCAGACTCACCTCTAGAGTCCGCCGTCGACGTCACCCCTTGCACAAGGGGCGGGCCCCGGGAACCCCGCCGGAGTTGGGTGCTGCGCCCTGCGGTGGTGCCGCGAGGGGCAGACACCGGGGGAAGGCTACCACCTGTCCCCGGCGGAGCGCACTGGAACCCCGGTGGCCCTGAGTCTCTCCACTTGCTTTGAGATGAAAACGTCTCCAACGCCACTGGCCTCACCTCTTGTCTTGCTGTACCGTCACTTCTCGGCTGCTTAAGGCGCGAGTAACACAGGAAAGGAGATGGGGAACTGGGCGCGGTCATTAGTAGGTTCTAATTACCGCTTTTTGGGCTGAGGTTTCAGCCCCGACCCAAGCTCTGTAAGATCGCTTGTTGCGACCCTTTCCCGGCTTTTGCCACACTGGCAGACTTTCTGCAGTCTCAAAATCGGAGTTGTAAAGGCGCGTGTGAGCCCGGCTAAAAGGGCTGGGCGCGGGTGGGTGGCAAGCGGCGGTGAGAGGTGTGATAAGAACTATTTCTTTCTTTCCATTCTTGCTGACAGCTTTCCCAGTTTCCTCTCCTCTTGGCTTTTCCATCATATTCCTTGATAAGGAGAGGGAAAAAAGCAATGAAATAGTCAAAACTTTGTCAGTAAGAGAGAACAGGCACAAAGAAAATGTCTGAACAATCCAAACTGTTCAAAAACTGAGAATTGGGAGTTGGTTGCTAGGCAGCTGGGTCTAGAATTATTTCCTAGATACTCAGGTTGTGTGCCCTTTTTCTAAGTAATTCCTAAGCTAGTAAGTCAGTTACCAATACATCCACCCTTGTTTACCCAAGGATCAGTGAGTATAGAGGATGTGTGAATTATAACACTTATGCGAACTTCGGGATGTTTTTCCTGTTTCCCTCATGCATTTAGTTCCAAAAAGAAATATTCAAGCTCAGTGGATAATACTTTTGATTAATTGTGGTAATTAGTAGTGTGGGAGGCAGGTGGGAAAGACTTGAAAGAAATCAGAATCTATATTATCAGTAGTGGGAAGTCACTGGTCTTTGGCATCAGGCAGTCTTCTCAGATACCACTTAACTTTCTTGAGCCTTTTTTTGTCTGTAAAATGGAAATAATGCCTATAATTTACAGTTGTGAGGAGTCAGTGGAAATGGGATTACATATAGAACACATAGCTCAGAGCCTGATATAGAGTAAAGGCTCAATTTTTCATTCATTTATTAATTCACTCATTTTTTCAAATAACAAGCAAGAGTCCCATGTGCCAGGCACTGTTCTAGGTGCTGGGATAGAGGGATTTGCAAGACAGTCTGGTCCTGGATTCTAGGACTAGGTCCCTGCCCTCATGCTTACAATTTAGATGGCAAATAATAGGCAAGAAACAAATGAATAAAGAAGGTAATTACAGATAGTGGTAAGTGTCCATGGATAATGTATTAAGAGAGTTGTGGATGTTTAGATTGAATAGTCAAAGAAGGCCCCTTGGTCAAAGATTAGACTGGACTATGCGACATAAGATGATACTCATGAAGAGTGTGCTTCTTATTCTTAGCTCAAGTAGATACATGAGACTAAACGGGCAGTTCCTGTCTGGAGGTGTGATGAGAAGGCAGAGAGGGTCAGGAGCTGGTTGAATGGACACAGGAAATCCTAGGTGGAAAGGAGGAGTGTGCTGTCATAGTACAGGGAGAGCAACTAGGGTCACATACCAATGTATGTATAAATTTTTATATGAGAGACTAACTTGAATTGTAAACTTTCACTTGAAGTACAACAATTAAAAAAAAAAGTTTGCAACACCCAAAAAGAAAAAAGAATGCCCCTTGGACAAAATGATATTCAAGCTGAGACCTGAATGATAAACAGTCTATCCTGAGATCTGGGGATAGAGCATTCCAGCTGGACTTCCATGATGAAAAAGTCAATCCCATACTTTGGTTTTTACTTTTAAAACCAGGGATGCTTCAAAAGACCTCCTAGTCCAAAACCATTTCAAAAAACAAATTTAAACAATATGTAGACTTGTGTCTGTGTGTGTGTTTCCATTTAGGTTTTTGATACTGTAGCACATGTTCTACATGTCTCAGTTTGGGTCTGACAGCCAATAGAGCTTTATTAAATGAAAATATGGTGCTGTGAAAATATAAGAGAGACAGCCATCACCTACGAAGCATCAACTACTTATCTCTAACAATTAGTAACTTTAGTAATATGCAGAGTGTGAAAACAGCATCAGTTTAGTATAGAAAATCTGATGGTCAATAGTCCTTTCAGGGTACTTGGCATAGATTTTTCACTTTTTTGTTTAATCAACAGTATTGTCTCAATTTTATTTTGGTTAACTGACATGATTTTTTTTTTCTTACCCAGGCAGAGAATTTATCTACTGACTTAATTCCCAAATTTGCTGTAAATTACTCATTCTGCTCCCTTTATTACTGTCTGTTCCCTCACTAAAAATGCCAGCTCCATGAAAAAAGAGACCTTTAACCTGTCTTGCTGACCACTATGTGCCAAGTTTTTGTAATAGGGCCTGTAACACAGGAAGTGTGTGATAATAATTTGCTAAGTGTTGAATGAATGATAAGGAGTCCATCCTGAGATCTTGGGATAGAGCAAATACCTAATATAGTGGGTATTGAATGAATACCAAACATAATTGCATGGTAGCTATTCAACAGCTATTTTGTTGAGTGAATACATGAAATAGATATATGGATATACTATGTTGTTATAAAGCTATATTGAAGCTGTAAGAGGAGCCCTGGTGGCTTAGTGGTTAAGAGCTCAGCTGCTAACCAAAATGTCGGCAGTTCAAATCCACCAGCTACTCTTTGGAGACCCTATGGGGCAGTTCTACTCTGTCTGATAGGGTCGCTATGAGTCAGAATCGATTCTACGGCAATAGGTTTGGTTTATAGTACTTACTACTCCTAAGACACAATGTACTTATTTATTCATTTGTTTATTATCTATCTTCCCTCTTTCCCCCTAGAATATGAAACTAGATATTTTGCTATTTTATTATTCTCTGCTGTATCCCCAACTTCTAGAAAATGCCTAGCATCTAGTAGCCAGTCAGTAAATATTTGTTGAATGAATGAATGCAAAGAAGGCTAGTGTTGCTGGAGAGAAGTGGGTAAGGGGATGTAATGCAATATGATGTCAGAGGTGAACAATCAGAGCATGTAAAGCTTTAAAGTTTAGGTTTAGGAATTTAGATTCTGCTATTATTGTGATGAAAAGCTATGGGGGACGCTAAGCAAGGAAGTGACATAATGTATTCATACTGGCTGATGTTTGGAGAATAAATTGTAGGGGAATAGAGTCCTTCCTATGTTAATACGAATAGGCAGGTATGTCAGTCAGCTATTGCTGCATGGTAAGCAACCCAAACTCAGTAGCTTAAAACAATTGTATATTCTTGCTCGTGTGTCTGTGGGTCAGCTGGGGCTTCACAGATCTAGGCTGGGTTCACTTGGGTAGCTCTACTTGGGCTACAAGTCCAGCTGGGCTTGGCTTTCTTCATATGGATGACCTCACATCTGTTCAGTTTATATTCTGGGACCCAGGCTGAAGGGGCAGTAGCTCCTCAGGGAAAATCCACTCACTGGTAATTACTGAGGTGCAAGAGGGTAAGCCCAGCCACATAAGCACATTTAAAGCCTCTGTTTGTATAACCTCTGCGGCATCCATTGGCCACCAAGTTACATCCAGCCCTACGTCAGGGGAAGAATACTCTGCCCACAGTGGGAGGGGAACAGGAGTGAATATTTGCTAATACTGCAAACCAACCCTATGGAGCAGTTCTTCTCTGTCCCATAGGGTTGCTATGAGTCAGAATCGACTCGACGGCAACAGGTTTTGTTTTTTGTTTTTGTTTTTGTAATACTGCAAATTATCACAGCAGAATAGATGGTGAGGCAATGATTTCCTCAAGCTGGAAATATCTTGCAGTGATTAAAAATGTAGCCTATGCAATCACTGACATCTTAGAAACCAGGCATTCTATTCCATGTAATAAAGTGATCAACTTAAATTATTATTCTCCATAGACAAATATAATCTGAACCTGATTGCCGTCAAGTCGATTCCAACTAATAGTACTTCATAAAATTTTATTTTTCTGAAATGGAAGCAATATGAGCCTGGAAATCCAGTTACTTGGCCCTGGTTTGGGCAGATACATGACTTTGACAGTCGCTTAATGGCTTGGCATCAGTTTCTTTAAAATATCTTCCAGCTTTCAGTGTCTATGAGCTTAGGACTGGTCCATCAGCAGCATTTATGGGCCACCAGGCTTGTAAGCAAATTACTCTGGGAACCAAGATAGCTTATGATCGAACCACAAAATTAATAGAAGGTGAAACTCTGAAGACATCCTCAGAATCATGGAGTCAGACTCCCTCATTTTAGAGATGTAGAAACTGAAGCCAGAAGTGATTACTCAACTTGTCCATGCGTACAACAAGTTAGTAGTAGAGCTTAAGGTGGGGAAAGACATATAATCCTATAGGAAATTTGTTTTAAATTTTAAAGTAATCTGCGCCTTTGTGTATAAACTTGTACATGTACGCTAGTAGATATGTATTAAGTTGAACCATATGAACCTGCTGTTTTTGTAGGGTCAAAAATTGTCAAATATTGTCAATTTCATATGGTTCAAAGTTGTATAAGAATGTTAGTAATACTATTTGTAAGAGCAAAAACACTAAATTACCCAAATGTGTATCAACTGTAAAAGAGAAAAATTGTGGTATAGTCATACAGAGGAATTCTGTAGAACAGTGGGAAAAAACAAACCCGATGGCCACGTGTGTCAACACTGATGAATCTCAAAAACGAACTAGTCACCAAAGAATACATACTGCATGAGTGCAATGTTATAAAGTGCAAAAAGAGGCAAAACTAAACAATTTATTATTTACAGAAATAAGCATATAGGAGAAAACACTTTTTAAAAAAAAAGTTACGTTAAACACAAAATCAGAATAGTTGTTACCTTTGAGGAATAATGTTTTATTTCCTAGATTGGTTGGTTGATACACCAGTGTGTATTGAATTATTTTTCTTTATAACTGACATATATTTCCTAAATATTCATTACTCAACATTTAGTAAAATAAGTAATGCAACATCAGAGGAATAATACGTGCATCCTGTTGGCAAGGGTATAAATTGGTACAGTCACTTTAGAAGGCTATTGGTAGTGTCTATTAAAATGAAAAATAATAAATGCATTCAATTTTCTCTTTCTATGGTGCATAAAGCCTGGATTAAACTCACTGGATAATTACTTTGCTTACTCTGATCCTAAGAAACCAACTCTGATTTTGAGATCTCTCTGATTCCCCGAGACACCACTAAGTCCCTGCCCACACATACGACTCCATCCCTCTCTCACCCTCAGCTCCACGCCACTCCTTATCTACCCACCATTCACTCCTTCACTTCCTCCTTCAGTCACATCTGTCACTGGCTTACTCTGTAACATGCTCCCAAAGCATAAAACAATTCATGCATGTTCTAAGGTCAGTAACCAGACGAGATTTTTATTATTTTTCTTGCCATAAAACTTGCAGCCTTCATGTCTGCTACTTAGAACGAGAACTTGCAAAATGTAGCAAAGATGATATGATCCCCCTTGTCACCCTCCACCCCTACACCCTCTGTAAATGCTGGAAACATTTTGCTCTGACAACAGCTTAGAAAGAATATTGTTTCACTGGAATGAGATCCACCCACATTGATTTCAGAGAGGAAGTTTTGGAATGGTTATGTTAACTTCATATTAAGCGACACGAATGCAGCCGTGGAATTCACTGGAAAGTCAAGTCACATGTTTTCTCGGAAAGGAATGTAACTGAAATTCTTACTAACAAAAATATCCACAATTACTTTCCATTCTTGGAGTTTAGATGAGATGAATAATGCCCAGAATAAGATTTCTGCAGACTGGCTTGCTTGAAAATTTGTGATTTGAGAGTATACTAAAACAAATTCCCTGAAAATTCCTCAATATTACAGGATATCCCTGATATAATATCGTTTTCCTTAGACAATTTAGAAGTTTAATTCAGAATTTATTCTGTATCTCTGAAACAAAGTTGGTTCATAACCCAGATTACAGAGATGAATGAAATAATAGTCATGAAAACTTTGAATTCAATTATTTTACCATTTTCCAGACTTGAGCTTTATGGCTGTTTCTTAACTTTGCTTGTACTAAAATTCAGATGACCTCATACAGCTTTACCAGGAGGCCACTGATCCATTTATTGAAGTTTTGTTTTTAAGAAATCATTTGGTCAAACTGCCTTTTGTTGTCGATCATATGCCTTCTTGATATTTGTGGGATGTAAAACTGATTTTTCTTTGATTTCTAAAATTGCAGTCGATTAATTCTCCTTTACCCCTTTCTGTTTCAAGTAATTCATAATCAGAAAATATGCATTTTCTTAAAGGAAAAAGAGTTGGGAAAACAGAAAATCTAGCTACAATGTCACCTTGTTGATATCTTTTCATGTGGAGAGCAGATTACAAATAATTTCTTATCATAGAGTGTAAATGTTTTCATTTTGTGTTTTAGTGTTCCGAATTCCAAGGCACTTATAATAATGAGGTTGGCTCAGTGAATTCACATGCTTTTTTGAATCTTATTCTGAAAAAAGTCTACTAATGTTTAACTCATTCTCCTATTAGATTCTGTTTTCTTTGAAGTCCCTGGCTAGTGCAAACGGTTATGGCACTTGGCTGCTCATCAAAAGATTGGAAGCTCAAGTCCATCCTGAGGTGCCTCAGAGGAAAGGCCTCGCAATCTACTTCCAAAAAAATTGTTGAAATCCTTGTGGAGCACAGTTCTACTCTGACACACATAAGTTCTATTTTATTTAGGAAAAGGTAGATTAATAAGAGCTGAAAATTCATTCTCTTCAGGGAAGATGGTATGGAAAACTAAGCCTACTTTTAACCATGTTTTCTGAAATGCATGATTTATACTCCACTAAATAGGCAAGCCAGGTGTACTTGCTGCTTCAGCCAGTTGCTGCTTTGCTGAAACAAAGAACCAAGTATTGCCAGATCTTCTAATTTATAAGAGGAATCCAGATTTTCACCTGAAATCTCTCATTTTTAAGTGCTGACAACTAAACAGTTTAAAAAAACATTTTTAAAAGCCCGTGCACGACAAACTGAACATGTCTACAGACCTGTAGACATGCAGTAGAAAGAGTACCATCCACTCAAGTCTCTGTTTCTTGGAAAGACGTTAAGCATCAATACATCTCCCTTTTGTTTTTTAACTTTTTTTACAGGTGACATACTGTCTCTGGTCTGTCCAGACTCTTCCCAGGCTTGGTGTGAGATCATGAATGTGTCACAGCTGTTGGTTTCTCCTACCCTCTACACGGATCCAAATTCCAGCATTACCAACTTTAGCATTTCTGCAAACACAGAAAATAAATACAGTCTGTATGTGGGCTTGGTACTGGCAGTAAGTTCCAGTATTTTTATTGGCTCCAGCTTCATATTGAAAAAGAAGGGCCTCTTACAACTGGCCAAAAAGGGAGTTACTAGAGCTGGTAAGAAATGGATACAACTAACAAATTCAAATTCCTAACTGCAGAATCAATCTTATTTTAAGACTACAATGCTACAGCAATTATATTTTACTGTCTCTGTTTATGTTGGTGTCCCTGGGTGGTGCAAATGGTTAACGTGTTTGGCTGCTAACCAAAAAGCTGGAGGTTTAAGTCCCCCAGAGGTGCCTCTGAAGAAAAGTCTGGTGATCTGTTTATGAAAAATCAACCATTGAAAACCCAGTGGAGCACAGTTAAAGACAGGGTTGTCATTAGTTGGAGTCAACTCCATGGCGATTTTTTTTTTTTTTTTTTTTTTTAATCTTTGTCTCTATTTCCTTGTTAAAATTCTCTACTCTTATTTCCAACCTTGAGCCCTGTGCCTCGTTTAAGGTGAGACTCAAATTAGACTTGTTCTTGCTTTTGGAAGTTTAGTGTGTAGCCTAGGTTCTTCTTTCATAGCTTTCATTCTGTAATTTTAGTTTCCAAAGTCAGATCATGTCACTCCCCTGCTAAAAATACTCCAGTGGCATTTCTTTGCACTCAGAATAAAATTCAAACACCTGACCACTGTCTCTGACCTCGTATATGATCTGGCCCTCTGGTACCTCTCCAGCTTCATCTTGTGCTACCCTCCCAGTCCCTACTTTTCCCTAGTTCTTAGAATATACCAAGGAACTTCTTTCCCTCCTCAAGGTGTTTTCCCTTTGCCTGGAATTCTCTTCTCCCTGTCCCTCTTTTTGCTGACTCCTTCTCGTCCTTTAGACTTCAGCTTAATTATCATCGCCTCAGAAAGACCTTCCTTGACCATCCTCTCTGGGCAGGTCTCCCCTGCCCCTCGTTATTCTCTATCATTGCACTAATGGTTTCCTTCATTGTACTTAGGATAATTTGTCATTGTATTATACATTTATTGTTTATTAACTTATTGCCTGCAGGTTTACTTGTTTATTGATAGTAGATTCACAAGAGCCAGGGACCTCGCCTAGCACAGTGTTTGGCACCCAATAAATATTAAATCGATAAATGGATAGCAGTAGAATTAGGTTACCTATTCATAGTGACATTTCAGATGCTGAGTAGCTCTGCATGAGTAGCCTTCATTAACCATGAATTTTCCATTCATTTTAATGAAGTATAACATAAAAACCATGAATTTTCCATTCATTTTAGTGAAGTATAGTGTAAACTAGCTAAATTTTGTTCAAAGGTTCATATGGAAAAGTAAATGGCTACACATTGTTCAGACAAGTTTATAAAAGAATACTATTGAGGGAAGATTTGTACTATCAGAAAGCAAAACATACAGTAATGCTATCTTAATTAAACAGTTTGGTACTGACATTAAAACAAATAGACAAAATAATAAAATATAATTGAAAACTTATGAGTAAACCTGAGTACTTATTTCCATCTACTCTGTGATAAAAAGTGGCGTTACAAATCAGTAGCGAAAGAATGAATTATTTAATAAACAAGTATTGAGGCAATTGGCTAAAATTACAGGAGGAAAATTTGAGTTCTACCTTATCACATTCAGCAAAATGAATTCCAGTAGTTTAAAATGAAATAGTTTTTTTAATGTTAAAAGAAGACCTTTCTAAGCATACAGGGAAGAAGCTATTCTTTATAAAGGAAGAAATTATCTGAAAATTTCCTATATGGAAACACTTTAACTAAAACTAAAAAATGACATATGGGGGAAAAATACAAAATATATGAGAAAGAGTAGCAGTTAAGATCTATATTATATGAAGAGTAATTGTAGTCAACAAGAAAGAAATTAGTACCCTAACAGAACATAGTGAAAGCGCATGAACAAGAAATACACAGAAGAAGAAAGGTAAATGGCCAGTAAATGTACGTTAGTAAATGTCACCTCACTAGTACCCAAGAGATACCGACTATATAACAATGAGCTCCTGGGTTATTGCCTACCAATTTAACAAGGATTCTTTTTTTTTTTTTAAGATAATGTCCTTTGTTTGTAAGGGGGCTTGGAAAAATAGCCCTCCCAAACATTGCTGGAGGCAGTATAAATGGGTATAAACTTTCCTGAGAGCAACTTGAAAAAGCTTAAAAAATGATAATATTTTAAAGCCTAATAATTCAACTTCCATGAATTTATCTTAAGCAAATGATTAGGGATGCACACCTAGATTTACATGTTGGTATAACGTGCCGTTGAGTTGGTTCTCACTCATAGTGACCCTATGTACAGCAGAACAAAACACTGCCTGGTCCCGTGCCATCATCACAATTGTTGCTATAGATTTACATACTCGGGTACTAATTTATATGATGAGAAAAAAAACTAGAAACTATATATACATATAAAGTCCCATACAGGTTAAGTAAATGATAATATGCCAGGTTTTGGAATAGATTTCAATCATTAAAAGTTTAAGGATATGAGAAAGTATTCGTGATATATTGTTAAGTTTTTTAAATGCAGTAAATAAGTTAAAAGACTTCAGATTTACTAACTTGGTCTTAAGCCTTGCCTTTTCCAGCTGTCATCCAGTACCCTTCCTAGAGGTCAATTCTTCAATTCTTCCTCTAATTTAGAACTTAATTCTTTTTTATTGTTATTATTGTGATAAATATATAGGTAAGAAAACATTTACCATGTCAATAATCTTCACATGTATAGTTCAGGGACATTAAATATGTTCATCACGTTGTTCAACCAGAACTTAATTCTTAGTTTTATTATTTTCCTAGGGCAAGGTGGACATTCTTACCTGAAGGAATGGCTTTGGTGGGCAGGGTTACTCTCAAGTAAGTTCTTAATGCTGACAATAGTGTTTGCTTTTAAAATGATAAATAAATTACATGGAATTTTTCAGAATTGGTTAATTTATCTTCCTGGCAAGAATGGAATTTAAATCTAGAGATTTTTGAGTGGGTAGAATACATTGTCTTACATATACATCATATTTGTTGTTGTTAGGTGCCACCAAGTCAGTTCTGACTCATAGCGACCCTATGTATAACAGAATGAAACACTGCCCAGTCCTGCGCCATCCTCACGATAATTGTTATGCTTGAGCCCATTGTTGCAACCACTGTGTCAGTCCATCTCATTGAGGGTTTTCCTGTTTTTCGCTGACCCTCTATCTTACCAAACATCATGTCCTTCTCCAAGGACTGATCCCTCCTGATAACATGTCCAAAGTATGTGAGATGCAGTCTTGCCATCCTTACTTCAATACTGTCCTAAAATACAAAAGAAGTTGACATTTAAGATATTATGTTTTATCACCAACTTCTCTTGTATTTTCTCCCCACAGTAATTGAGAAAAATGCTGTTTTTTCCTATTTTCTCAGCTTCTAATTCAAATCTGTGACTTTCTTACCTGCGTATTTTCTAAGGAAAGGGCACACTTTCCTTGCCAGCATCGAAAAATGAATAAAATAAAGGCCTATCTGCCTGGTGTGGTACTGAAAAGATGGAGAGGAGGTGAAGTTTGTCAGCATTATCCTTCCTCCCAGACTTGCCCCGAGGATTAAATGAGGCATTGTGGGATGTGAAAGCACTTTGCTGAACAATGAATAAGGAAGACCAAAAAAGAATTGATGCCTTTGAATTATGATGTTGGTAAAGAATATTGAATATACCATGGGCTGCCAGAGAATGAACAAATCTGTCTTGGAAGAAGTACAGCCAGAGTGCTCCTTTGAAAGGGGGATGGAGAGACTTTGTCTCATATACTTTGGGCGTGTTATCAGGAATGAGCTGTCCCTGGAGAAGGACATCATGCTTGGTAAAGTGGAAGGTCAGCGAAAAAGAGGAAGACCCTCAATAAGATGGATTGACATAGTGGGTGCAACAATGGACTAAAATATAGCAATGGGTTGTGAGGATGGCACAGGACCAAGCAGTGATTCATTCTGTTGTACATAGGGTCGCTCACTATGAGTCGGAACCAACTCAATGGCACCTAACAACAACCATCGGATGAAAAAATGGAAGGCAATGTTTTCTCCCTCGGCCACTTTCACTGATTTCTATCTCCTTCCGAACTCCTGAATTTTCTTAAATCCAAACCTGAAACTTCCAAGGGAGGACAACATGAAGTATTCTTTGATGCCACTTGCAAATCTTTCCCCTCTGCAGTCAGAAGTCTTAAAACTTCCATGTATTTTCTCAACCAAGTAACAAATTTCAGTATTTGTGAAGTCTTGCTATAGGAAGGAATTGGGTAACTTTAATAAATGGTGAAATCTAAAAGGACGATGAATAAAAATAATTGTATACAGCCCTTTCAATTTTCAAGGTACTTTCACATTCATTTTCTTACTTTATTTGAATAAAAATTGACAAGGGCAGTACTGGTAAGATTCCAGATCAATATATAGATGACTCTATCTCCTTTTCTCTCTTTTACTCACATCCCTCCACCCCTCACCCATACTTTAGAATGAAAATACAGTTGAAAATGGCTACAGAGAGATAAGCTTAAGGCTTCAACATTAGAGATTTTATTTAATGACAAATACATAGTACCTTAATCATGAAATCAATAATTTTCTGGAAAGCCATCTATACAGATAAAATATAAATAATATAAATTCTTCAAGGAAAACTTAACATCCTAAGGAAACTGCCATGGCTCTTCTTAGGAGAGCAATCTCCGAATTATTCTGTAATTTTAGGTTTGTTCTATGATGTTTTGCTAAAGCAGGGGACTCCTGCAGGTTTGGGTGGGAAGAAAGAAAAGTGTGCTGGTGTCTTTTATGCATATAAGAAGCTCTCTCTACAATAAATGTTTGCTTGGCATAGTTTGCTAACATGAAATACTACATTCTATGGGCAAGTGTCCAATTGTGGCCTGTGAGGACTATTTGGCCCCAATACAAAAGCCTAACTCTTGAAGGGATTTTCTTAGAAGTTGTTGCATCACAGTGCCTCTTGGAAGTCTAGAGTTCTGAGATAAGAAAGAGATTACATTCACGAGTATGTCTTTAGGACTTTACAACAGCTGCTTGAATGTCCTTGAGCTGCTGACATACTTAAGGGGTTGTACATAGTCTGCAATTCAGCAAGACTAGACTACATGGGCCTGTGGTAGACATTCCTGGCTATCCCCTACCTGGACTCTAGAGCGCTACAAAGCATTATAATTTTACAATTTTTTTCTTAATTTGAGGAACAATTTGGATTCTTGAGCAAATAGGAAGATTCTGTGCTTACTTCAAAGTTATTTCTACTAGATTTCATCAGGATGACCAAATATACTTTTGAAACTGGCATAACTAAAAGTCTCTGTTGAAAGTCATTTAAAGTGTGTATTCATCTGTCACTATATTCAGTATAACTGCCAGAACCATTTTTTGCATTACTTAAATTTATAAACAAAAAAAACCCAAAACAAACAAACCAATTACCATCAACTCTGTTCTGATTCAAGGCAACCCCATGTGTGTCATAGTAAAACTGTACTCCATAGGGTTTTCAGTATCTTTCAGATCTTTCAAAAGTAGATTGCCAGGCCATTTTTCCAAAGCATCAGTGTGTGGATTTGAAAGTTTTGCAGTCTGTTTAAGAACACTGGGCAGCAAAAATAGTTTGCCCTAGGCTACTAACCAAAAGGTTGACAGTTCAAACACACTGGTGATCTGCTTCTTTTTTTGTTGCTGGGTATCATCGAGTCAATTCCAACTCATGGTGACCCCATGTGACAGAGTGGAACTGCCCCAAAGAATTTTCTTGGCTATAATCTTTACAGAAGCAGATCTCCAGTTCTTTCTCCCACTGAGTGGCTGGGTGGGTTTGAACTGACAGCATTTCAGTTAGCAGTGAGCACTTAACCACTTGCACCAACAGGGCTCCTTACTATAGAGATTACAGCCAAGAAAACCCTATGGAGCAATTCTAGTCTGTAACACATGGGGTGGCCATGAGTCAGAATTAGCTTGACAGCAACAGGTTTTATCAGTTTATTGCTTTGCATGTGTCACATGTTTTTCTCTTTTGATAAATTAATCCTTCTTTCATTTTTAATCTTTTGCTTACTTTCCAGTGGGAGCAGGAGAGGCTGCAAATTTTGCAGCTTATGCTTTTGCACCTGCCACTTTGGTCACTCCGCTGGGTGCCCTGAGTGTTCTCGTAAGGTATGTGAACAATAAGGAGCTTGACTTCTGTAGGTATTTTCATCCCATGACAAATTTAACCACAAGAGATATACTGCTGTTAGAAAACAAACAAAAAATCACGAAAATAAGTTGAGAAGTCTATGATATAAATAGAAATAGAAAATAAATACCAAAAACGAAAACCAAATCCTTTGCCATTGAGTCAGTTCCAACTCATAGCGAACCTTTAGGACAGAATAGAACTGCCCCATAGGGCTTCCAAGGCCGTAAATCTTTACAGAAGCAGATAGCTACATCTATCTCCCGCACAGCAGCTGGTGGGTTTCAATGGCTGACCTTTCAGTTAGCAGCCAAGGGCTTAGCCACTGTCGCCGCTAGGGTTCCTAGGAAATAAATAGATTGTCTTATTATTGTTATTTAGAAAATCCATGGGAGAGTGAGCCTGGTTTTCTACTACCATGAAATAATTATGCATTATGTTGTTGAATGCCATCGAGTCGATTGCATCAAGTTGATATTTGTGATGATACAGTGAAAACTGGCAGATTTTTTTCTCTCTCCACCTAAACAAATTGCCACCGTCCTTTTAATGCTGTTGCTTACTACTTAATGATAGTAGTTATCGGGAGATTTTAAAAAGCATTGTGTTTGGGTGAAATTTCAACTCTCACTAAAATTCTCAGATTGTCTGCTGGTTACATCTATTTGGATATCTCAGTTTCTTTTTGTACTGGAAACAGAATAACTTTCCTGTTTCATAGAACGTGGATCTAATTTTTTCTGAGTTGGTCTTTGTTATGATCCCAAATGAATATGTTCAGCGAGCCCAAGAACTCTTTTATTTTGAGGCTAAGCTACTTTTTTTTTTTATTGTTGTCTTTTTCTTTTCCTTTTATCACCATTCATTACCAATCTCTAGTAAAAAGCTTATAGTGGACCTGCCTGTCTCCTTTTACCTTCTTTGTAAGGTTGCTGTGAGAATGAGTGAGTTCATACACTGTCTGGCACTTAGTAAGTACGTAGTGAATGATGGGTAGTGAGATTGCTGTTAATATCCATTGAGTTGGTTCCGACTTGTGGACGCCTTACGTATAACAGAACAAAACGTTGCCCGGTCCTGTGTCATTTTCATGATCTTTGGTATGTTTGAGTCCATTTTGCGGCTGTTGTGTAGTATCTTCCAACCTAGGGGACTCATCTTCAGCACTATCTTGGACAATGTTCTATTGTGATGCATAAGGTTTTCATTGGCTAATTTTAAAGTAGATCACTGAGCCCTTCTTCCTAGTCTGCCCTCATCCGGAAGCTCCACTAAAACCTTTCCACCATGGGTGACCCTGCTGGTATTTGAAATACCATTAGCATAGCTTCTCTACAGCAGCATGTAAGCCACTACAGTATGACAAATTGACAGACAGGTGGTGGTAAGTAGTAGTAGTAATTTTCATTAAAGCTGCAGTCCTCACAAGGGTGACTTTGGAAAAGCACCGTTAGCTGATTCCAGTCTTGGGGACCAAATGGACATTGATAGTGTGCTCACAGGAGTGCCAGGGTAAAAGACAAAGGAGGCTGGTGTGCAGGAGCCTCAGCAGGCCTACTGGTGTGCAGGAGCAACAGGATGGTATACTCTGGTGTCCTGGTGGTGCCAATCTGGAGCTTCCTGGGGCCAGGGGCCAGGGCAACTGAAACAGTGGGAGCATTTGGATGGGTGAGAGTATCAGGGCTGTAGCAGCTGGTAAGGAAGTATTTCAAAATTTTGACAACCCATATGGCTATACTGGTGAGTACCTAAATATTAGCCCTAAATAGAGTAATTCTTCCTTAGGCTTATGACTTTTCTTTGAATCTCTCATAGAAACACACATTCTAAATACATCATGCCAGGAAAATGTAAAAGATCTTCAGTTTGCTTGACTTTGCAGGATAAAATAGGAAAATTGAAAATGAATCAAGTGAGTCCTCTTAGAAGATCATGGGGATATTAAAGGGGTATAAAGTATCTATTATAACTCTTCAGATACAAAGGCTTTATAAAAGCAGTGTAGTAGATTTGCTTGAGGAGTCCTGGATGGCACAAACAGTTAAGTGCTTGGTTAGTGGCTGAAAGGTTGGCAGTTCAAACCCACTCAGAAGCACCTCAGAAGACAGGCCTAGTGATCTGCTCTGAAAGGTCACAGCTTTGAAAACCCTATGGAGCAGTTCTCCTCTGTACACATAAGGTCTCCATGAGTTGGAATCGACTTGATGGCAACTAACAACAACAGATGTGATTGACTGTCATTTCTGGGGTTTAAATTCAATACAGTTTTTCCGTGTCACAAAGCATATTCCACATGTCATACCACGGTGTGATTTCTGAGCTTCTATGGAATCAAAAGTTAATTCAACTAGAGTGATTGTTATTTTTTTTTCCCCTAACAGTGCAATATTGTCTTCCTATTTTCTAAATGAGCACTTGAATATTCATGGGAAAATAGGTTGCATATTAAGTATATTGGGGTCAACTGTGATGGTTATCCATGCCCCTCAAGAAGAGGAAGTCGCTTCTTTGCATGAAATGGAAATGAAATTGAGAGACCCAGGTCTGTGATTCAGTCTAAAGACACACTCAAATCTGCTCCGCTCTCTCTCCTCAGCAAATGATATTTTCAATAATATTGTAATAGGCTTCTTACAAGCCTGCTTGTGGGATGTGAGACACGGTAAGTTTTGATTAAGAGTCTTCTAAAAAGGTGACAGAACTTATTTTTGTGTTCATGCTTCCACTGTACCACAATGAAAAGGAGAGATGGAGGTGGTAGAGGCAAAAGACTTGTACTCAGTCCCAAACTGTTACCACTTTCTCCCTCTGAAAATAAAAAGGCAATCAGACAATACCTGCCCTACTTCATATTGTTACGTTTCATGGCTTCATCGTTGTTCTTTATCGTTGCATAGTATTCCGTTGTGTGGATATACCATAATTTCCCAGTCTGTAGGTTGTCTTTTGACTCTTTTGGTGAAGTTTTTTGATGAGCCTATGTGTTCGATTTTTAGGAGCTCCCATTTATCTAGTCTCTCTTCTGGTGCTTGTGCATTGTTACTTATGGTTCGTATTGTGTTTATGCCATGTATTAGGGCTCCTAGCGTTGTCCCTATTTTTTCTTCCATGATCTTTAT